CCGCACAGTCTGCCTGGAGGGCAGGCCCCTGGGCTCCACCCAGAGTCACTGACAGGTTGGCCAGGGCAGACCCAGTACCTTTCATGAGGCCATTAATGGAACGATGGTCAGAGTGACACATGAGATGAGTACACCTGACAACAAACTGAAGATCTGGAGGAAGATCTCAACAGACCATAATGATGGGCGGAGCATAAAAGGGAGACTTAGCCACACAATTAAGAATAAAATCTGGGAAATGGAATTTGACAGCAAGATGTGTGGAAAAGCTATGGGCTCAGTCTGTTATCTGCAGAGCATCTAGGGGCTGCCGCAAAAATGAGCATCAACCTCAGCTCTGGGTGCCACATTGGTGGGAATGTTGACAACCCCTGGGCCCTTCAGAGGACCCAACCCAGAGTGTCAAGAAGACTTCAAAAGTTAGAAGCATATGGCTGTTGCACCTGGAGAAGGGGAAGCCTGGGCGGGGTGGGGGTAGGGAGTGGTGGGGAATACAGCAACTTCCTTTAGGTTTGTGGACAGTTAACAAGTAAATGAACAGATACTAGGACATTCGACTAAGTGATTTTAAGGTGTTTTTTAAGCCTGAGGTCCTATAGATTTTATCATAATACCAAAAAGAGAGGGAGGGAGAGGAGGGGGAAGTTGGGGTTGTAATTGTCCGTGTGACTAAATAGTAACCTTCTTACTTAGTGATAAGGTGCATGCAGGAAAAAACATCAGCAGTAGACACTCAGTGCACCTTGCAAAGGGATCTGTGTGACCACTCTGTGTCACAGGACACAATGTCACCTGCTCTCCCGCAGCCCCCTTGGGCCCCTCCCAGGCATTCCTTCAGCAAAGAAACCAGTTCCCCAACTTTCATCCCATAGGTTTTGCCTGTTTTTGAACCTGTGTGTGAAGGCACACACAGAGGGTTCGTTCTTGTGTACAGCTCCCTTGGTGTAGCGTCGGCATTTTGTTGGTGCTATTTATCCATTCTGAAGTGACCAGTTGCAGATGGAGCCTTTGCCTGGCCATGTGGTGGTCCACTGCGTGGATCTGTCTGCCCACCACCGTCTCTTCCTGTCCATGCTGTGTGTGCCCCAGTGTGGGTGTGGGTGACTGGGCTGGGCACTAGGGGAGGTTACCTTAACCTCAAGCCCAGGCCCAGCTTCTTGCTGCCTGAGCAGCACATGCTCTTGCACAAGACAGAAGATCCCAGGTGGAGGATGGGGTGCGAGGGGGTTGACAGGGGGCTGTGATGCAGGAGAGGCGGGTGGACTGCCCAAGAGGTCAGCCAGCAGACGCCCTGAGGTGGGGTGTTGGGCAGCATTTCCACAGCGGAACAAGACACTGTTGTTGCATCCTGAGCTGCCCTAGAGACATGGAAAAGGCAGCTCACACCTTTGGCCAGATGCCTGATGGCCTTTTAGGGTAGTTCATCCTTAGCAGGACCTGGTTCTCCTCCAAAGGAGTGAAGGTGAGGAGCATCAGTGGGGCTGCATTGACCTGTGTGGCTGTCTTGCCATCTCCGTGGCCCACCCTGGCTGGTGCCCCGTTGCCTTCCTCAGAGCTCCTGCAGGGTGCCCCGCTGGGCTGCCCCTTGCAGTAGCTGGAGGAAAGGCTGGAGGCTGGGAAGCAGAGGGCCTGCATTCCACTTCCGGATCTGCTGTGGGTTTGGAATAGGCATTTCCAAATTTCCCAGCGCCTTAAGCTCCTCTGAGTGCTAATCCAGTGTCCTGATTTTACAAGGGCCGTGGAGGCGGGTAAGGCCCAGGCAGAGGCCTGGCCTGGTGTGAGCAAGGGCTGGAGCCTGCTGCCTTATATGACAGTGGCTGGGAGGGTTCCTGTGGCAGGGTTCCAGCGGCTCCTGCATCCTCCTTTGTCCGCCTGGTTTGAGTTCTGGGGAGGCCTTGCCAAGTGGGGTTGAGCAGCTGCTGGGGGAGAAAGAGCCCAAGGCCAACCTCAGCAGGCCCATGGTCCTTTCTTCTTGTCCCCTGCATAGTTTGGGTGGTGTTTGGGGTGAGTATAGCTTTCTCTCCTCCATAGACTAAGTTTGTGGTCTAAAAAAAGTGGTCCTGTCCCCTCTCCATTCCCAGTGGGAACTGAAAACGCAGGGGACTGTGTTGAAGAGGCAGTGGGGCCACTGGGATGAAAGGCAGTGGGCAGGTGGGAACAAAGTGGGCGAGTGCCACCCTTAGATGTGGGTTTCTTTTCATCCACTCACCCCCTCTGTGCTACGGCTGGTGCTTTTCTTCATTTCTGGACAACAGCCCTGTCCTGATCCACCCAGACCCGCCTGCTCCCTTCTGGAACCTCCCAGCTCTCGGCTTAACCAGCCTGCTGGCACCCCCACCCCCAGGTCGGCCCCTCCCTGCCTGCTGCGGGTGAAGGAGCGCCCACGCAGGCTTCGGATTTTGGATTAATGGACCCCAGCTGTAAACGTCTGATTCTGGCTGCAAGTTAGCTTCAAGGTAGCACACAGAGTGGCCATTTACCTCCCACCATGGTCCCTGCCCAGCTGCTGCTGGGGGTCCTGGGGAGTGGCTGGAGAGCAGGTCCTGGCTGACACGGAGGTGCGAGCCATGTGGGTGTGTGATGCGGCCAGGGCCCAAGGAGACCCTGGAGGGCGGGACTCCAGGAGAAGGTGCGGGTTGGGCTGTGCCCACAGGGGTCTGGATAATGTGGGGCTCCTGTTTCCTATCCCATGACACAGTGACACAGTCCAGGGGCTGACTTCCTTCAGGAAGGTTGGGTGGGAATGCTGAGGTGCTCTGCAGAAAGCAGAGGGTCAGGGCTAAAGGGAGACAGGGTCAGGGCCCCATGCTGGTTAATATCAGTTCTTCCTAGTCAAGAATGGATGGGGGTGGCGGGTCCCTCCCAGGCTTGCCAGATAAAATACAAATACTGCCTGGAAGAAACTCAGCCTAAAAAAATACTCTTTATCTATACAAAATTCAAATTTAACTGGGCATCCTATATTTTTATTGGCTAAATCTGGCAATCCTCCCTCCAGCTGAATTTCTTCTTTAAGTAATAGTTTTATTGAACTGCTCCATACAGACAAAACAGAGCACAGACCATGGGTGTATGGCTCAGCAGATTTCCGTAGGTCAAACTCATGTGAAACCAGCACCCAGCTCAAGAAATGAAACACAGGCAGAACCTGGCCCCCCGAGCATCCCCAGGGTCCCCACTTCCAAAAACTAGTATTTGCCCATTTTTTTACCACATATAAATGAAATCATTATATTTACACATAAACTCTTTTGTAAATCCAGCTGTTTTCACACGACTCAGATCATCAACAGTGATGTTGGAGGTGGTTAAAACTCACTGGTAATGACTGCACGAAGGATTGCCTAGTATGGATAGAGCCTGTCTTGTTTTGTAAGGATGTACCTGGGAGTAGGGCCTCTGGGTCATGGGCTGAGCACATGTGCGTGTTTGGTAGATCTCGCCACACTGTTCCCCAGAGCAGATGTGCTGCTGTCCGCTCCCACCGGCTGTGTTTGAGCATCCCCACTCCTGTGCCCTCACCAGCACTGGCATGTCCCCTTTCACTGTCACCCTCCCCGTGTCTGGTGTTTGCTACTGCCTGCTGCTCCTTGTTTCTTTTTTTAATCAAGAACCTCTTACTTTGTTGATTCCTCTGACCTTGACGAAGTGCTGCTTAAGGAAATCAACAGGGCCCCTGGCTCATGTACCACCCTGGGCAGCCCCAGAGCTTTGAGAAGGCCATTCCACTCACCCCGTCACCCAGGGCCCAGCCCTGTGAGGCCTGGCCACTCAGTCTTGCCTCCTCCCAAGTACTTCCATAGGGAAACATCATTTCCAAGGGCTGCCCTGGCTGGCTGTCACCCGTATCCTGTGGTTCCTTGTGGTGGCCTTCCAGGATGGGGGTGAGGACACTGTGGTCCCTCCAGCAGTGTTGTTGCCTGACAGCACATCTGTAAGGACCTCATCCCAGCCCGAGGGCTTTCCTTCATGTGCCCTACCTTTCCTCCAGCTTCAGGACCTCTCCTTTGCTTTACCTGGTGGTCGCTTCCCACAGGAACTGGGGACTGTGGCCACATCAGTCTATGCCATAGGCCACAAGCATGTGGGGATACATGGAAGGTGTGACTCCAGCCCTCAAGGACCCATAGAAATCCCCACCAGAGTTCTTCACTGCTATGAAAGGAGATGCTGTACTAGTGCCATCCTGAGAATCAGGACTGTTTGGCACTCAGCTCAAACTGAAGCAAAAGGGGCTTGGTGGCTCCTGTGCTGGCTGACCAAATAGCCCAGGTGGTGGAGGGGTCGGGCATGACGGGCTCTGGGTGCTGTCAGGGCTCTGGCTCTGTCCTGTTTGTTTTTTCCTCCAGGCTCTTCCTACTAGGAGGCAGGAGGGCCACCAGCAGCTGTGGATCACCTCCTTCCAGATGAGTGGCCCTGCTGGAAAAGCCCCAAGGCTACCTCTCAGTGGCTTAGTCACAGGGACTCTGACAGGCCAGGCCTGGCTCATGTGCCCACCCTGGGAGCCCAGGTTTGAGCTGGGTAGGCAAGGGGTTCTCCAAAGGAGAGTCCCTGTTTGCTAGGTAAAAAAAAAAAAATGTTTGGCCTCACCAGGCCACATCACCCACCTTCCACCATCTTCCATGGGCTGAAAAATTATAATGCAGCAAAGGAAAGAAAAAGCAAAGGTCTGCACAGAAGCAGTTAACCTTTCCCTATTTCTGTGTATCTGCAGGTAAGTGTTGACCGAGAGGAAAACCAACAGAAAGAAAATACTGTCAGCCTCTGAAATGAGTAGTGACTTTTAATTTTTTTCTTATTACATTTTAACTTTCCCATCATGCATATTTTATTACTTCTAAAATAAATATTAAATGTTATCACCAAAGGGGAAAGCCAGAGTACTCCAGACAGAGAGTGGCCCTCCTGTGTTCTCTTTGGGGTGTGTGTCCTGCTCCCCGTGTGGCACACCTCCTCTCAAGAGTGTCACACACCACTGTCTCTGTCACTCGTGTCACAAGCAACTTCGAAGCCAGCCCAGCCTCGTGATTATTGCCCGGATACTGAGCCAGCAAGAGTCTCTCCATCTCTGGCAAGAGAAGGCCCAGGTGAGTCCTCACCTAAGCTGCATCTATGGGGCCTGGGAGGCCGACAGGTGAGCCAAGGGCTCTCCCTGCGGTCTGCACACTCCTGAGGCTTCTCCCAAAAGGTTAGGAGCCTCAGGCCAGGAGAGCCACACTGAGCTTGAACTTTTCCCTCATATCCACACATTTGACAGTTACTTTGTGTTTGCCTGTGAGGTGCTAGGCACTTAGGAGAGGGCAGTGAGCTAGGAGCAGGTGTTACATTTTTTTAAGTGTGGTAAAACATACATAAACAAAATTTAGCATTTCAACTTTTTTTAACCATCTCTACAGTTGTAAGTGTAGAGTTGTAACCGTTTTGAGGTGTGCGATGCAGCAGCCTTCAGTGCATTCACCGTGTCGTGCTGCCATCAACTCTGTCCATCGGCAGAGCTTGCCCATCCTCCAGAACAGACACTTGGTGCCTGTGAAGCACTAACTCTCCAGTTCCTCCTCCCCGAGCCCCTGGTATTGGTATTTCCAATAGGTGGAAAGACAGTAGCGATGAAAACTCATACTACTGAAAGTAAAACTCCTCCCCCAGCATACGTCTGTCCCAGTGTTAGGCACTCTTGAGGCAGCAAGCAAGGGGAGCTTTGTCTTCTTTCTCTGGCTCTCTTCTCTCCATAAAGCACCAGCCTCCTTGTAGCTCTGAAAACATAATTTCAGGGGCCTTGGGGGCAGCGTGGGCCACAGCCAGCCCAAGGATGGACAGCAGGGATGCTGAGTGCTCCCATCTGCCAGGAATCTCCCTGGAATCCATGACGAGTGGTTCAGTGGAACCCCGAGCTCAGCAACACAGGAGAAGCATGGCAGGACCCATGAGAGGCTGTGCACCTCTGGTCACAAGCTGTATGAGGCCAGCCTGCGTAACCTTTGCCAAGAGTGCTGACAGAATGTTCTGGCACATCCCAAGCAGGGTGGACAACATGGCTGAGTCCAAAATGCCACGATTGCAGGGCGTGACTGGTTAAGTTGGCTTGTCAGAATGGGCCTGACCTGGCTTTTGCCCTGGCTGCCCCCTTTGCCTTAAATGCTTTCCCCCAGGACATAGCATGGCTGGAACTTCTTGTCGTTCCAGTTCCAGCTGAAATGTCACCTCCTCCAGGAAGTCTTTTGTGACCATCCAACCCAAAGTGCCCTGGCACCATCATCCTGTTGAAATGCTTTGTGTTTACCTCCTGATAGTTTCCTATTATTTATTCAGGGTCTGTACCCACAGCAGCTCCTTGAGTGCAAGAACCAAATGGTTTCTGCTTGCTGCTGCCTGTCAGCACCTAGCACAGTGCCCGGCACGCAGGAACTCAGCGCACACTTGTGGAGTGAACAAACCTGGGGTGGAGTTGCAGGGGTGTGCAAGGGGGATGTTCCCCAGGTGAGACCTTGGGAGGGGAGGGCAAGGAGGTGGCCTGCCCAGGGGTCATTTCACAGAAGTGGAAGTCTGATGACCCAGCGTCTCCGGGAAGAAGGAGAATGGAGGGACCAGTCAGTGTCAGAGGGGTGTCCAGCGGGCAGGGGAAAGGGTAGACAGAGATGAAGCACGGGGACAAGACTGAGTGGTCCAAAGACAGCCTGGTAGAGGCACTGGCACTGGCCAGAGGGGAGCCCCAAGCCCCACAGAGAGCAGAGCCCAGTGTCAGCACAGCAGAGGCGAGAGGCCTGAGCATCAAGGTCAGGAGGGGCAGGACCAGCGGTACGGGGGAGGCTACCTACACCTCTGTGTAGTGCTTGGCAGTGATCAGAAGGATGGCAGCTGGAGCGTCATGATGGATTCAAGTTCAAGGCTCAGGCTTTTGTTTGGATTTGGTAACTGTTGGCAGCATCCTGTGTAAGGGAGAGTGAGGGGAACAGGAGGGGGCAGAGAGTGGGGCGGGGAGGTGCTGTGGAGGAAGAGCTGGGGTGTTTGGGCTGGAGGGCCTGCGAGGGAGCAGAGTGAACATGCCTCCCCAGGGAGAGCTGGTCTGGGGCTGGTGTCCTGGCCTGGCCTTGTGGTTCACAGCTCCACGGCTTTCCCACCACACCAGTCACCCACCTGCCATGTGCCCACCATGCAACCATCTGTCAGTGAGTCCCTGGCTGAGCTCCTCCTGTGTGCCAGGTTCTGCACCAGGAAATGGCCTCAGAACTAGGCGGGCTGAGGGCGCAGCCACTAACTTTGCCCAAGGGTAGGGAAGTGGCTTCCAGAGAAGATGTCCTGAGCCAGGTCTTAAAGGATGAGTCCGTGCTTGTGCTGCATAGAGAAGAGTTTGCAGGCGGGCAATACAACCCGTGCAAAGCCACACCAGACTCATGGCGGCTGCAGGGGAGGAAGGACCGGCTGGGGCCTGCCCAGGGCCCTCCTGATGTACATCCCCCTCTCTACTGCAAGCCCGGGGCTGCTGCATGACCTCCTCGCAGGTCTCCGGTCTCTGAGCACTCCCCTTTCCAGTCCGGCCTGTTGGACAGATTCTCAGGAACCACCTTCAAAGGGCTGCCTCAGCCCCACAGCTAGCCGTGTGGGACCCACACGCCCCCTTTCCCAACCTCTCCTCCACGCACTGGCCTGCCCGAGTTGCTGTTCTTCTCGGCTGCCCTGCAGGCCCATCCAGCGCCCTCTGCACACAGCTTTGCTTTCCACCCTCAGATCCCAACCAAAACAGCTGCAGCTGATGGGCCGCCGGCGCTGGCTGTGTCCTGGGTGGGCACTGTTCCCAGAGCCTGCCTCTCATAGCAGCCTCAGGCAAGAAGGGCTGTTGTCACCCCCCTTTCCCAGATGGGGAACCAAGGCAGGTGCCGTCAGGAACCATCTCGGGGTCACCTAGTGGGGAAGGCGTGGAGCTGGGATTCAAACCAAGGGACCCTGATCGGGACTCGGCCCTTGGCCCCTGCAGCGTTCTATCTCTACTTCTCCATCTCCTTCCTTGGCTCTCACAGTGACAGCCTGGACCACACCTGCTGGTCCTTGAGCTTCAGTTCTGCATGGCAGCTAGGAGGTCAAGGGCCATCCCATCTTCTTCATTCATTGATGCACAAGTGCTGATTCACTGTGCAGGAGAGTACAAGGGCTGAGGACTGACTTGAGCAGGAGCGGCTCTGGGGTGAGTGCCTGGGCAGGGCACCACTGGGCAGGAGTCCCTGATCCCTAGACTGCTTGGCTCTCCATCTCAAGCTGCAGTCTGAGGCCCCAGGAACTGGAGAACTGGATTTGAGGGACAGGATTTCTGCTGGTGGTCAGGACACAGCAACCCCAAGACTTGCATTTTCCAGAAAAGTGTCTGGGTCAAACTGCTTCATGTTGTTCTGGTGAATCCTGAGAATATCCCAGAAAGAGCAGGGTTTTAGCCTCAGGCACCAGGGTGCTCCAGATACTGCTCAAGGTACTGAAAATACCACCTGAGCAGAACTCAGTCCCTTCCTTGTGAATCTCTTGGTCTGAAGGAGATGGACACAGGCACCAAGAAAGAAATCGGTATTTGGTAAACCAGATAACCGTAAGAGCTATAGAGAAAAATAAAGCCAGACAAACAGGAGAGGGAGTGTTAGGATGATGCTTTTTTATAGGGGTGAATGCAAAGGGGCTGAAGGAGTCAGGCAGGTTCCTTAGAGGGGGCAGCAAATCAGAGGCCCTAGACCAGGCAAAGTTCTCTAAGGTTGGAGGAACAGAGGCCAGTGTGGCTGCAGCAGAGGCCTGATGGCAGAGCAGGAGGAGCTGAGGTCAGGTCAGTAAGTGGAGACTCAAGACCGTGGTTGGGACTTGGACTTTCATGCCAAAGAAAAGTCGATCTCTCTTTGATGTAGAGCCACCAGTGTGTTTTGATAAGAGGAGAACCATAATCTGATTTATCAAAATTGTAAAAATTACCCAGGCTGCTGTGTTGAGAATGGACTGTTGAGGGTGGAGAGGAAGGAGGCAATTCCAATAGTCTTGCTAAAACATCACAGGGATTCGGTATAGGTGGTGAGAAATGGTCAGATTCTAGGTGTATTTCCCAAATCCACCACAGCCAGTGGGATGTGGGAGGTGACAGAAAGGCAAGGAGGGCTCCATGATTTTTGCAACTGGAAGGATAGAAAACCCTTTAGGGAGACATGCAAAACACAGGTGGAACAGGTTTAGAGAGAAATCAGGAGTTTGTTTTTTTTACCAGGCCACCTCTTGCAACACAGTAAAATTGTGAAGCCATGTCTTCCAGTTTGGAGTTTGGAAAACATGGGTTTTAAATGGCTGAAATCAAGAGAGAAGGGGGTTTGCATCTACTGAGGAAAGGCTAGCTTCAGTCCTGAGCTGCTGTCCATTAGTTTGCTTGTTTAGTGAATACTTAACTGAATATATGCCATGTGGCAGGTGCTGAGCTAGACTCTGGACATGCAGTGAACAAAACTTCCCTTGTGGACCTCAAGGTCTAATGAGGGAGGGTGCTGGGTGGTGATAAACACATTGCATAGCATGTTAGGTCATGAATGCCCTGGCAACAGAGGTAATGCAGGGTCAGGGGATCAGCAGGTATAGGTGGTGTGGGCAAAGAGCCAGGAGTGGGGTAGTCAGGGACCTGAGGGTAGGTCTTGAGCAGGGCCTGGGGGGAGGACAGGACAGTGGTGCTGCATCTGGTCGCTGGGCCCCTTCTGGGCACAGGCTGTGGGGAGCATCAAGAGCCACCTGGGGTCTCACAGACACTTAAGATCCTGGCCTTCTGCACTGTGTGAGTAGAAGTAACTGCCAGGCTATGCACAGGTGTGACCAACTGTGTGGACAGTTGCCTCTCCCGAACTCATCTCCTCCTCTTGCTGGGCAGGCTGACAAGCCTGCCTTCTCTGGTGATCATTTGCTTCTTGTCTGGAGGTGTCTCTTCCTAGTGTGCTGAATGTTTGCAGAGACAGCTCCTAGTGGTGGGGGTAAGGTGGGGAGAAGGGATGGTCAGGCCCTGGCCCCCTGCTGGGACCCATGTGACCCAAAGCAGCCCTTTTCCCAAATGGGTGTGTCTGCTGAAGAGGGATGGCTGGGACTGCCAGAGCTGGAAGTGGAAGAGAATAAGCAATCAGAAGGTGGCAGCTTGCTGCACTGTGTGGAGCGAAGCTGTTTTCATGGAGTGAGAGGAAAAACATGGGAGCTAGCTTGCTGCTGAAGCTGCTGCTCTGTGTTCCTAGGCCCAGCCCCTCCCAGAGCTCCTGCAGCTGGGAGGGTCCAAGCTGGGGTGAGGCTGCCTTTCTGAGGGCTGCTTCTGGGGGTCGTGGACTGCAGAGCAGAGCCCAGCCCCTGTGCTTGCACAGCTGTGAGCTCTAGCCGCCAGGGCTGTTTTGGAAACTCCCCAGACTTGCAAGGCCTGAGCAAGGCAGTACAGCTATAGTTTTGGTGAAGCTCCAGATGGTGCCTCTCTTCACCCAGAACCTTCCCTCTCTCTCTTTCTTTGCCTCCTCCTCTCCTTTTCTAAAGGGATCAGACACTAGTCCAAGAAGCTCTGGCCCCCTTCCAGGAGCTGAGGCCCTGGGCCTGACTCCCAGCCCACAGCCCAGCTGCTCTTGTGGGCTAAGCCTGAGGCCTGCTGAGGTGCTGAGCAGGTGTCTGTGGGTGAGTCAAGGAGAGGAAACCAGGTGTGGTAGGCAGGGCTGGGCTAGAGCAGGTAGCTGGGGGTGGGGCTGGGGAGGCTAGAGCCCTAGCCCTTTCGGTTAGCCTACACCTGCTACATTTAAGGAGATGTGCCCCTGTGAACTCCCTTGTCTCTGCTTTCATTCTGCATCCCCTCTTGCCCAGGCTGCGTGTGGCCTCAGAGGGGCTAGAGGCTTGAAGACTGCCTGCCTCCTGCCCAAGCCACAAGTTAGCTCAGGGGCAGCTGGACAGTCCTTGCTGGGACTTGGCCAAGGGGCTGCCCAAGCCAGGTGCAGGGGCTGGCCAGAAGTGGCTCACTGCAGACACCTGTACTCACCTAGGCCAGCAGGAGTGGGGCACTCCACCCACTTATTTAGAGAGGATGGGCAGTTTAAATGCAGGGTGGACAGCTAGCAGACAAAGTGACATATCAACCAAATGCAATGTGTGGGCCTTGTGCAGAACCCCCATTCCAACAAAACTACTGTAAAGACATTTTTGAGATGATCAGAGAAAACCGAACATGGGTGTTAGATTGTACAAAGAATTCTTGGTAATTTTGTTGGGCAATAGAAAGATACTATGATTATGTTGGGGGAAAAATTCCTATCCTTTTCTATTAGAAGCTCTTTATGGGTAAAATGATACAATATTTGGATTTGCTGTAAAATTCTCTGGGAGGAAGAGGAGGGGTAGAGAGGAGTGCTGAAGTAGGGCAGGAAGATGAGGTATCTTCAGGCCCATTCCAGCATGAGCAGGGGTTGTGGGACACAGGCAGAGACTGGGGGACACAGCCTCTCTCCTTTCACAAGCATTGAAAACCCCCACAGTAACTAGTTAAGTGGAAGAGGCACCCAAGGAGAACAGGCCTGCAGATGAGAGCAGCAGCGCAGTGTGGGAAGGGTCTCTTCGCCTGGTGGCAGTAGAGAACCGTCTGCTGGTCTTGGTTCTTCTAGAGTGTCTGCTTCCTCCAAGGAAGGGGGTAAAAGCTCCAGCCTACAGAGATCTTCCTAGTTCACTTCCTCAAGGGAGTGCACACCCTGTGCCAGGCCCCATGTGAGTGGGACCCTCCTCTCCCTGGAAGAGCATGCAAATGTCTTCTCTTTGCAAACAAAAAACTCAGCTCTAAGAGCCCACACAGTCCCTAAGTGACAGGTGGATTCAGGTGTTGGAAGCTGGTGGTCTGGCTCCAGAGACTGTGACCCACTGCCACGACCCAAGGGTCCAGGCCAGGACACCCGCAGTATCTCCAGCACCCTCTGTGAGTGATGGCCTCCTTTCTTCTTGCCAGCTGTCCTCGCTCAGCCACCTCCTGAGCTTCCTTGAGGCCATCATCCCTCAGGCAGTACCTGAGCTTTGGGAACTTGCCACCCAGCCAGGAGCAACAGCCAAACGCCGGTGCTGAGCTTGACTGCAAGGTGAGCCCCTAGCTTTGCCTGCTTCTGACAGGGTGCCAGCCCCAGGGGATGAGGGTGGGGTAGGGGCAGCACTGTCCACAGCTGCCAGCCCGCCTCAAAATCCTAAAGCCCCAGCAGACTGACTCCGTCTGGTGAAGGTCTACACAGCCTGCCATGAGCGCCTTGCCCGTGACCCTCGCAGAGGTACCGTGCATAGGTGTGCATGGCCCACCCTGCTGGTGGGTTTTGCAGCATCCTTTACAGCCTGGTGTGGCTCAGCCATGGGATCCTCTGCTAGTCCTACAGCACAGAGGCTGCAGGAGCTGAAATGCTGATGAGGTGTGGGAAGCGAATGTCCCGATGAGAGAGGCATCCTGCTCCCCCAGGGCAGAGCTGGGTCTAACCTCCCTGCTGTTCGTTGTCATGGTTGCCACTGAGGCTACATCCTTGGCCTTTCTTGGGTCCTTCCTGACTTACCAGATATTGCCCAGCTCTCCTGAAAGCCGTGTTCTGATGGGAGTCTGGGGCAACAAGGTACCCAGAGTCTACAGGAATGGTGGGCCTATGGGCCCTTGGGGTGAATGTCAAGCAGGGCAGTGCAGGGGTGCAGGGGCCTCAGAGTGGGAGTCTCCAAGCTGGGTCCGGGGGTGGGGGTGGGGTATTGGAGTTCAGTGAGCTCCCGGTCCCTGGGGATTTGGGAATGAAGACTGGAGATCAGGATCTTCCTAATTTAGAAAAGTGGTAATTTCAAAGACTCATGCAGAGGTTGGATGTTGTTGATCCAGAAGTCCAACCTTTGGGCATAGGTCTGTAAATCAGATAAAGGAATTAATTAGTGAGCACAAATGAACCATTAAGAAGATAGGATAATTCCCAGGTATCTGCTCCTCTTCTGGAACATGTAGATAAGGTTATCTTTCAGTTGTGCCTAATATTAGTGCATTTATTAGGCTGCTAGTTATGGAGGCTGAATCTAGGTGTTCCTAGGCCTCTAGAAAGGAGGTCAAGTCAGCCCCTGGGCGGAAGGGGTCCATCTGAGCAGGACACAGTGGTGGGCCTCAGGACTGGACTGGGGGAAGGGAGAAGGGGCTGCGAGAGCAAAGGAGAGGCTCGCGTGTGGTCTGACCCAGTGAAGGCTGTGACCTCCAGACACCTTGGTAGCCACTCCTCTGACCTCCCTGGCAGAAGCGTCACTGCCAGGCGGAGGCTTCCAGTCAGTTCTAGGCCCATCTGAGGTTCAGAGCCCATCTGGTAGCAGATGTCCTTTCAGCAGCCTGGAGGAGGGCACTTAGTGGGCTGAGGGAATCCTTTATTCTGAGCACAGTTCTCACACATGTAAAGGAGGCTGTGACACATCCCCCTGGTCAGCTGCCATATTGGAAAAGACCTGTTTGGCGAGGAAACGAGGGGCCAGTGTGTCTCAGCAGGGCACCCCAAAAGTATAGGGTGTACTGGTCCAGGGCAGTGAAAGGGGCAGGTGAGGCCGAGGCAGCTCTCAGCTGGGGTGGGCTGGAGAGGGACGCAGTAGGAAGTGGGCTCGGTGTGGATGCAGGGTCTGAACAGACATGTGAAGTGCTCTGGGCAGTCACTGTGGTGCTCAGGAGGGGCCAGGGGGCAGGTGACCAGCTTGCCCAGCCCAGCCCCACTCCCACCTCAGCCGCCTGACTCCTCTATAGGCCCCGGCATGTTTCATCCTCAAAGGTGATCAGGCCACTCACCAGTCAAAAAGAGCTGTGGCGTCTCCCACCCTGTTTTATAGGGAGTGGTAGTCTGGGCCAAGGCTGAGCCTTTCATTCCCAGAGCTCAAAGTCTTTGCCTTCTTTCTATTGGAGGCACAGTGGGGAAACTAAGGCCAGAGTGAGGCCAGCCAGAGGTGACCCAGCCTGAAGGATATGGGGACGTGCCCTTTCCCAGCCCTTGGGGCTTCCAAGCTGAGCCCCATCCCCCGGGCCCTGCTTGCTCAGTCTGGGAGATTTCCGGTGAGACTGGTAGACAGCACTCCTCCGGCCTGCAGATAAACACTTCTGCCAGGCTCCCCTTCCCCTGCTCTCCCTACCTCCTCTCTCTGCCTGGGGCTTGGCCCGGTCTCCTCCCTCCCCAGGGAGGCTGGCAGCCTTCTCCCCCTCTGTCTGGCCTCCCCTCCAGGATTGGAGAGCTGCTCTCCGGTGCTCAGCACACGGCTTTCTCTCCTCACTGATCCCATGGCTTTGCAGTTGCCCCCTTACTTATGTCTCTCAGCCAGTGTCTCTCAGCATGGTGTGGCGTGTTTGGCACTAGATGAGTGAATGAATGAACAAATGAATGAATGCAATGTTAATTCCTCTCTCCCTCTGTGAACATCTTCCACCCCATTCTGGCCAATCACTCTCCTGCCCCACTTCTAGAAACCTTCCTCCCTCTGCATGCCCTCTGACCAGCCTCTACACGTTGGTACCCTTGTCTCCTAATGTCCTTGTTTCATTAAGGCCCCAAGGGCTTGTCCGGTTGGAGTCCCTTGGCTTCTGAAGTGTTTCTGCTTATGACAGAACCAATCACAGCACACGTTATTATAAGCTAGTGCAGTCCCTGCATGGGAGAGCTACCCACCAAGTATAATAAAAGAGGCCACGTGCTCCCGCTGCCTCACCGCAGGGGCTGGGGGTTCCTGCACTGGCGGTTTGTCCTCACTGGGTCCGTCACAGTGTCCTAGCAAATCCTGGCACAGCTTGTGTGCAATATAACAATTCTACTTCTTAACGAGATGATTAGAATACTTTCAGCAATTTAAAGTGCTTTTGGATAAAGAAATGATCACTCATCCCCTTGATGGTTATTGGGGGACCTGTGCTTGCCTTGTCTGAGCAGGGTTGTCTCAGAGGAAAACAACCATCTAGGTCAGAGTGATGCTTAGGGGTCTGGGACAGACCAGCAGGAGCCAGGTGCCCTGTTTGGCTGAGAGAGGTGGGAGACAATGTTTTCATGCAGGACTGTATTCTGAGAGTTCACCTCTTGGTGCTTCCCTGTGGCCCATGCATACCAATTCTACAAGAGACCAGCACCTTCCTAGGCCCTGTGTGTGCATGTGTGCGTGTGTGTGTGTGTGTGTAACTGTCCTTTCAGCCACTCTACAGACAACCATTGTGTAACTGAACTCAATTTGCCACTGTCTCCTCAAAGTGATCAGCTTGGACTTCCAACCCAGATCGAGGGGTTTCCTTTAGCTGACTTGCATAAACCATTTTTGGCCGGAATTTGCCTAAATTCATTCTGTCCGGTCCCATTGACTGTGTGTGTGTGTGTGTGTGTGTGTGTGTGTGTGTGTGTGTGTGTTTATTTCTGTTGTTTATTGCTCTGCCTTTTTTTTTTTACAGTTTTATATTGGTTTTGGGTATACAACACAGTGATTCAACAATTACATACATTACAAAATGCTCACCATGGTAAGTGTAGTTACCATCCCTCATACAAAGATGTTACAGTATTATTGACTATATTCCCTATGCTGTACTTTCATCCCCATAATTGTTTTATAATTGGAAGATTGTACCTCTTTTATCACAACAGTCAGAATTACTAGTATCAAAAAAATAAGTAACAAGTGTGGATGAGGATGTGGAGAAAATGGAACCCTCATGTACTGTTGGTGGGAATGTAAATTGGTGCAGCCACTATGGAAAATAGTATGAAGGTTTCTTAAAAAGCTAAAAATAGAAATACCATATGATCCACTAATGCCATCTGTGGGTATTTACTTAAAGAAATTTACTAATTTGAAAAGATATATGCCTTTGTTCATTGAAGCGTTATTTACAATAGCCAAGATACGGAAGCTACCTAAGTGTCCACCAATAGATGAATGGTTAAAGAAGATGTGATACATCTACACAGTGGAATATCACTTAGCCATAAAAAACTAAATTTTGCCATTTGCAACAATGACATTGGACCTAGAGGGTATTATGAATGAAGTAAGTCGACAGGGAAGGACAAATACCATATGATTTTGCTTGTATATGGAACCTAAAAAACAAAATAGACTTGTAAACACAGAGAACAGACTGACGTTGCCATGGGAGTGGAGGATGGGGAACAGGCAAAATAGGTAAAGGGGATAAAGAGGCACAGAAAGAAAAAATGGGGGAACTTTGAGGAAGTTAACTATCTCTTTTTGTGTGGAAAGAAAACTAAGGTCCACAAAGTAAGGGATCCCTGAGTTGGGCTACATTGAGGTACCAGGAGCCAAGTCTATCTCCTCGTCCCCCCAGAGCCTGATGAGTGTCCTCATGGGACAGACAACCTGGGGTCCGTGGAGGGTTCTGCATCTGTGATGATCCCCACCCCAGAGCGGCTGCAGGAGGCCGTATGGCCTGGCCTGAGCCCTGCCACTGCAGGCAGCTGCAGTCAGCCTCCTCACCGTGCACAGCGCCTACTGTTTCCCTGTGCCTGAGGCCTGGGGATGGCTTGTTTATTGGAGAAGTGTGTTTGTCAGGGTGGATCTTCATGGGGGTGGGCCTGTGCTCCAGACGTGGGTGATACTGCAGGGTAAACAGACTGCCCGCTGCCCAGACTCCTCTGAGTTCCCTCCTGGGTCCCTGCACACCTACAGAGGGTGAGTGTGTGCGTGTGTGTGTGTCGTGTGCGTCTCCTGGGCAGCTTTGTGGTGTGTGGGGGTTAATGGAGTTAACAAACTAGTTCTGCTGCCTTGGCTCCTGCTGCTGCTATGACTGCAGGCTGGTCTGTCCCTGGGTTAGGTGACTGTGCCAGGAGCTGCCTTAAGTGACTGCACTGTGGTCTGGGAATTGTGGGGTAAGGACAGGGAGGGCGCTGCTGCCCTGTGGCTGCTGTGCACTGCCTCTGTGCTGTCCTGCTGACGCTCAGCACCAGCAAGGGGCTGCTTCCTTGGGCATGGCTGGGCACAGACCCCTTGCCTCGTGTCACCCAGAAGCTCAGGTAGACTGGGAGTCTCTCCCTCTGCCCAGCCTCTGCCTTCTCACCTGCCAGTGCCCCTCCTCCTCCTGCCCCTCACCTGCACCTTAGGGACA